CCTGATTTGGGATAATAATTTTATGTCTAAATAAAGTAAAGAATTTTTTTGCGGAAGTAGACACAAAAAGAAACGAAAAGATTATTTAAAATCAAACACGCAAAGACAATTCCTAAATAATAAATAATACAAATAAACTTTTCCTTATGATTGGTAGTACAATAAACTAATTTTAATTACACTAAAAAACAACAATTTAAATTAATAAATAAATAAATATATGCCCGTATTAAAAAATACAGTACAATCATAAACAAATTATCTTCAGTACAAATTGCAGAAGAAAATTAAAAATTCAGCCCTCTAGGCAGTATTAAGTAGCGCCTCCACTTTTTCCTTGGTTTTGTTTGAAAGCCATTCTTATACACATTCATGAAACTTCTTAATTATTTATTTTTATTTTGCGGTGATTTATTAAACAGTTTGAGCTTTGTGTATTAATAAGTTTGTTGTAAAATATGACAGATTATGTTTCGGAACACGAAAATCGAACGGATTTTTAATCCGAGATCAGTCAAATTTTTACTTTTGGAATCCACAACTATCACTTACATAATTCAGGCCTCTATTGTCCAAAAAAGATGCGATTTCGACCATTCAGTATACTAATTTCCAAGTCATTTACAGACACTTAAAAAGGGTTGTTCCCATCACAGAACCCTGTGGAATCCCACGTTTTATATTTCCCATGTTACTAAAAATACTATTAATTACATTACATTGCTTACTTATGTAACTGGCAAACCATGGATTGACTAAATTTGTCCAATAGAATGCTAGAATGGTATAATAGAATTGGTTCAGCGAATCAAAAGCTTTATGAATGTCCAAGAAAAATCCAACTGACACATTTTCTATTATCAAAACCATTATTGAACCTATCAAACAATCTAAAAGAGCCACTTTCGTGCTAACCCCAATTCTAAATTAATTTTAATTGATAAAAAAATTACATTATTTGAAAATTATTTTTCCTTGTTCCCTTCACATTTTTCAACACCCTTATGGTGGAAAGTGAAGAGATTTGCAGAAAATTTGAACACATTCTGTTAGAGTTGGCCTTATAGATTGGAACCACAGCAGCCTTTTTTAACGTATCAGAGAAAATAATTTAACAATAAAAATGTTACAGTATCCTGAAGAAACGTCTACAGAACTGTTGGATATGGATACTGCCAGAAAAAGGTTTCCAGCACAATACTGCATATCGAAAGAAACTATTGATATTGCATTTATGTAATAGCTGCAAATTTAGGGAATACTGCACTTAGTACATAAGAGGTTTTTTTTCATTATCTGTGTTATAACTCAAAGAAGTCGTATTACTTTTCACATTGTGACCAAACCGTTAAACGGATCTTTTACCTTGATAAACGGTTTTGTAAAAAGAATTGCCACAAATTATAAGCCAACATTTATCTGTAAGAGGTATATAAAATTTACATGGGATAATATAAATAAAAATCACATTTTTACATCACTACCTGCAAAGCAAAAGCATATAAAAAAGCGTTATCCTTATCCATTTCATGGCTTGAAATCACGTGCTTAAATGCATGCAGTATTTTGTGTTAATGTACATAGTAACTAAACAATAGAGTCTTAGCTTATATTATTATGCTTTAAGAATATTCACAACCGATATCCCAAAACCAATTTCTATTATAATATAACTGTACTGCAACATCAATGTTTCTTTGATCATTTTACTTGGTTAAAATGAAAAAAAAACATTCGAATGAATAATATTTTTTTCTAAACGATAACGAAATTTAGTAACCTAAACTAAAAAAAATTATTTTTAGGTAACCCATTGAACTGTAACGGAGAAATTTAATGATGGTCTTGAAAAGAATGATTCATCAAAACAAATCTTTATCATCATAACGTTGTGTAGAAAATTCAAGACCGTAAACACGCATAAACTTTGATCTTAATTGGAAAACAGGTGATAAATTATCTTGCTATTGAATTTTAAACGTCATGAACAAAAATGTTACGCGTAACAAGCAATACAGGCGCAGCTTTTAATTAAGATCGCACTAAATTAAGCCAGATGAGTCAATTCACTGGAGAGGCTTGATATATTGTTGAGAGTAACCAATTATGTTGCAGTATTTGAATATAATTAGATTTATGTACGGTAATTGAAACTAGTTTTCAGGAGTATATTGTTTTTTAGTGAGTTTCCCTTCACAAAATAGCAATAGTATGTCATATTCATAAAATAACATATACAGACATTTTACAATTATTATGTTTATAGTAACGTGCTTAAATAATAATCCATGCCAAATGTTAAATAGTTTTGTGGGTTTCATTAGGCAGATTTTATGAATTATATTTATTTTGTAAGTTGTTTAATAAATAAAAGTACTGAGTTGTTGAGTATAATCTGTGTTATCCGGAGACAGTTTATTCATAAATTTTGATTCTGCATGTTGGTTTACGTGGGTGTTAATTTAAATAGTTGTTTGAAATAGTTTGGCCGTTTTGTATCCTTAGCAAAATGATCATATACATACCTATTAAATTTGCTAAGTTCCAATATTATTTAGCTTGACTAAAACTTAATATCAGTAAAATATTTATGAGCGATAAACAATTTTACAAAAAAAATTATGAACACTTTGAAACTTCCTTGAAAGATCAACTGGAAATACAATGGTGCATATAATGGGAAACATAGTTGCCAACTTATCAACTTCACTTTTCCAAAACGGTTGAACATCCATTTGTAAATTGGCTAGCATAAAAACGCCCTATACAAACTTTACCAAGACTAATTGTTACAATTTGACTAAAAGTTATTCTTCAATGGGCAAAGTAGACTCCTAGGGGAGATAGCCACCTTGATGAGTTATCCTTGGATCAATTCCCGCTTCTTAAATGGTTTGCATCAACCCGCAACGCAGTCCTTCAGTATTTTTGCTAGTTTAACGAAACCTCTAACTCCTAAAGTCTAAGATTATGCTCTTGTAATTGTAGTAGAATCACCATCTTCAAATATTACTTTGTTTCGTGTTTTCAGACCGTTGTATATTGCGAGGATGTGCTGTAGTAGCAGTAGTGGCTCCTTGTCTCGTCTAAGCATCACTCTAGGACTGCTCTCTCTAGTCACTCTGGTCACAGCATTGTCTTAGTTTGTTTTGTGTTTTCAGACCGTTGTATATTGCGAGGATGTGCTGTAGTAGCAGCAGTGGCTCCTTGTCTGGTCTAGGCATCACTCTAGGACTGCTCACTCTAGTCACTCTGGTCACAGCATTGTCTTAGTTTGTTTTGTGTTTTCAGACCGTTGTATATTGCGAGGATGTGCTGTAGTAGCAGTAGTAGCTCCCTATCTCGTCTAGGCATCACTCTAGGACTGCTCTCTCTAGTCACTCTGGTCACAGCATTGTCTTAGTTTGTTTTGTGTTTTCAGACCGGTGTATATTGCGAGGATGTGCTGTAGTAGCAGTAGTAGCTCCCTATCTCGTCTAGGCATCACTCTAGGACTGCTCTCTCTAGTCACTCTGGTCACCGCATTGTCTTACTTTGTTTTGTGTTTTCAGACCGGTGTATAATACGAGGATGTGCTGTAGTAGCAGCAGTGGCTCCTTGTCTGGTCTAGGCATCACTCTAGGACTGCTCTCTCTAGTCACTCTGGTCACAGCATTGTCTTAGTTTGTTTTGTGTTTTCAGACCGTTGTATATTGCGAGGATGTGCTGTAGTAGCAGCAGTGGCTCCTTGTCTGGTCTAGGCATCACTCTAGGACTGCTCACTCTAGTCACTCTGGTCACAGCATTGTCTTAGTTTGTTTTGTGTTTTCAGACCGGTGTATAATACGAGGATGTGCTGTAGTAGCAGCAGTGGCTCCTTGTCTGGTCTAGGCATCACTCTAGGACTGCTCTCTCTAGTCACTCTGGTCACAGCATTGTCTTAGTTTGTTTTGTGTTTTCAGACCGGTGTATATTACGAGGATGTGCTGTAGTAGCAGCAGTGGCTCCTTGTCTGGTCTAGGCATCACTCTAGGACTGCTCTCTCTAGTCACTCTGGTCACAGCATTGTCTTAGTTTGTTTTGTGTTTTCAGACCGTTGTATATTGCGAGGATGTGCTGTAGTAGCAGCAGTGGCTCCTTGTCTGGTCTAGGCATCACTCTAGGACTGCTCACTCTAGTCACTCTGGTCACAGCATTGTCTTAGTTTGTTTTGTGTTTTCAGACCAGTGTATATTGCGAGGATGTGCTGTAGTAGCAGCAGTGGCTCCTTGTCTGGTCTAGGCATCACTCTAGGTCTGCTCTCTCTAGTCACTCTGGTCACAGCATTGTCTTAGTTTGTTTTGTGTTTTCAGACCGTTGTATATTGCGAGGATGTGCTGTAGTAGCAGCAGTGGCTCCTTGTCTGGTCTAGGCATCACTCTAGGACTGCTCTCTCTAGTCACTCTGGTCACAGCATTGTCTTACTTTGTTTTGTGTTTTCAGACCGTTGTATATTGCGAGGATGTGCTGTAGTAGCAGCAGTGGCTCCTTGTCTGGTCTAGGCATCACTCTAGGACTGCTCTCTCTAGTCGCTCTGGTCACAGCATTGTCTTACTTTGTTTTGTGTTTTCAGACCGTTGTATATTGCGAGGATGTGCTGTAGTAGCAGCAGTGGCTCCTTGTCTGGTCTAGGCATCACTCTAGGTCTGCTCTCTCTAGTCACTCTGGTCACAGCATTGTCTTAGTTTGTTTTGTGTTTTCAGACCGTTGTATATTGCGAGGATGTGCTGTAGTAGCAGCAGCGGCTCCTTGTCTCGTCTAGGCATCACTCTAGGACTGCTCTCTCTAGTCACTCTGGTCACAGCATTGTTTTACTTTGTTTTGTGTTTTCAGACCGTTGTATATTGCGAGGATGTGCTGTAGTAGCAGCAGTGGCTCCCTGTCTCGTCTAGGCATCACTCTAGGACTGCTCTCTCTAGTCACTCTGGTCACAGCATTGTTTTACTTTGTTTTGTGTTTTCAGACCGGTGTATATTGCGAGGATGTGCTGTAGTAGCAGTAGTGGCTCCTTGTCTCGTCTAGGCATCACTCTAGGTCTACTCTCTCTAGTCACTCTGGTCACAGCATTCGTCAGTAACGTGTGGGTCTACACTCAAGAACCTGTTATTGTCCCTGTTACCCACGCCTCTACTACAATCACTTTCCGCATAGGATTTTGGCGAGCCTGCCCTTCTGTCAGCCGCGTCAACATTACTGGACGTAAGTGTTTTTTCACCATATACACTGGATCAATATTACTTGATCACCGACTACATAAATTTGTTAAAAAGTGATTGTATGCAATGCATGAAACCAGTTTTCATCCTTACATGAATGTGGAATGACGTGAGATTATCTATGTAACGTACTGACTAAAATAAACTATTTCTCAAGTTAGACCATTGTAGCCCAATGATAAAGGGCAGCTGTATCGAGATTCTAATAATGGACAAGCTTACCAAATGTGTTCAGAATTAAACATAAAGAATATAAGTTTTAGGACTATTTTATTGAAAAATCATCATTGCCTTGAAATACAGATTGCAGGTGAAATCCTCAAAATGCTAAGCCCGCATTCAATGTTGCCATACAATTAACACAAGACTATAGTTTTTCAAAGTGCCTTACACATTCTTGGATATTGGAAAATAGTTTTGTATCGCATGAAAACTATTGATTTTAAAAGAGTTAAATTTAATAATTTAGAAAGATGCATTCTTATCCAATTTATGCCTACATTAGTTAGAACCTACACTATTACGTTTTATAATGCGCAAACAATGAGAGGCACTCAAGCAATAATATCTGAGTCTCATGACATAGTTAGATATCCAATATCTGTAACAAAGCTTACGTTAATATAAACTTTCACAATACTGGTTAAGCTCTAACCAAACTTTCCAATATAGCCAGGAACAGTAACGCCAGCTACATAATTAAGTATATGTTGTACTAAAATATATTTCATCAGTTTAAAACTGATGTAGTTTTATTCTCAGTATCGAATGCTTAATTAAATGCTCGAAAGAATATAAGGAAATTGTTAGATACAATTGAAAAAGTCTTAAAATGTATTTTTTCAATACTTTTTGCTCAAAATTTTATAAAATGTAAATATTTCAATCAAAGTATCTGATATGTGCTTTAGGTAACTGTTTTTTGTGTCCATCTATACCAATGTCATTCTTGAAAGTTTTTGAAGTCATGAATAAAACATTTTTTGAGCCTAGCAGTGCAGTGAGTTTTTTTATTAAAAGTAGGCTAAAAACTATTTGTGTAAAGTGAATATAATGGTAGTAAAATACCAATCATAACAGTTGCTACGATTTAAATTTATCTAACGGATTTCCTGTTGAAAGACTTTTAATACGAACATAAATTCTTTTACAAAAAACTAGCAAAAGGAGTAATGCTAAGCTGTACAACCGCACTCTATACGTCTGAACACAATATGTTTTAGGACTTTAGCTTTAACACAAAACTGCCCTTTTTACGACCATTCCAAGTAGACCATTAGTGTCTGAAAGAGGTTCATACTTTTGAAATATAGAAATGTGGACTCTTACGGCTTTCAAATGGATGTTTTAGTGTCGTTAAGAAGTCTATGCCAAATGTGGGTTTTCTTTCATACTTAGAAAAGTTGGGTTCATACAATTGTATTCTAAACTTTGATCGTAAAGAAATATATATTATTTTGTCCATAGATATTACTAAATATTGATTTAACATTAAATTAACAATTCAGAAAGTTATCTTTATGAAACAAATAAAGGCATTAAGCAATATTCGTTCGACCAATTTATTTAAAATAACAAAAATTTTACGCATTTAACAATTTTAAAATAAAAAAAATCCATTGCACGTGAAAACTGTAACATACAAACCAATCAACAAACGCGATTAATGTTTCAATAAAGTATATTACTGTTTCAAAATACTTAAACATAAAATAGGATCATCTTTTTAATCTTTGAATAAGGTACCTAACAGTAAAATCATTTTTAAAAGCAATTGATACAACAATACAATTTATTTTTTTTATATACATCGAGTCGTATATCTGACCACTGTGGTTTATTACTGTTGTTATGTTGGTAGACGTGCCTTCGCCAGCTTGTCAGCTGATCAAGTACTCCCCCTGGGACGAACTATACAGTTCAGACCTCGGCGTCGTCTGGACACCGCTGGAATTCACCCCTACCTTCGTCTCTAGGATGAGGTACGGTAGTTAAAATAAGTTTACACACACAGTAGAACAGGAATAGCACTATCTTATGCGGATCAGAAATCCATAATTGGCATACTCTTGTATGAGTAGTAAAACAAATTCAGTTTTACTAAGAATTTAAGGGATTTTTACCATCGCTAAAAAAGCTTTACTGTTGTTTAGGTTTTACTGTTTTGTAAGACCTAAATATGTTGTGAATAAATACAGATATAGTAAATAAATAAATATATATATATATATATATATACTAGACTTACTTTATCCAGACTCCTCGGAACCGAGGTCAGTCCGAATAACGGGATTTTCGGATAAACCGACTTCTTTTAAGACTCGTTGAATTAGGAACGTCTTATGCTTAAAACATAAGCCAATAATAATTACATAAAAATATGCACTATGGGATAGTTATAGTAAACACAAAACACTACCCACTTCTTGCCTATTCAGACCTGTTCAACCGATTAAAAGTACGATTAAAAGGTGTCCGGATAAAAAAGGAGTCTACAGGGAGGCTGACAAAAAAAAAAAAAAAAAAAACGCTTTAAATAATTGAATGTTATTTTCACTATATCAAATGAAGCATATATTATCAATATTTCTTCATATCTTACTTACAAAAGCCAAGAAGATGGTGATTATAGGTTTGAGTAGGCCTACGCAGACTTGTGGCAGATACATCATAATAAAATATGAAGCTTCAAACTTAATTGATGGTTTTTAAATCTGGTTTGTATGATAGATTCTCAATGCCATTCGCTGCGGTGTCGCTGATCCTCACACTGTTGGCTGCAATGTTTGCATTGATGGGTCATTGCAACACTGACCACAAGACTCTCGTGGCTTGCGGACTCTTCACTTTGGCAGGTAAAAGAAGCTTGGCGACCAGCTGTAACACTAAGGGTAACGTAATACAAACATACATAACCTCAAAGCTTAGGACTTTAATCTTACTTTGCTGTAACCATTGTTTTCTTGAAGCCTTAGCCATTATTATTTCATAGCAGTTCCTGGCCATGCTCATCAATTCAGAGCAATGTCTTGGTACAGAATGTTTTTGAAAAGAGCCTTCCGGGTTAATTCTTTTTGTAAAGGGGTGGGGGTTGCATGAGTGACTGTTCTCTTCCCGGCACAGTTCTTCTTGGAGTGATTCCTTACACAGATTATTTGGATTTTTCTGATTTTTTATAAACGCTACCATAAATTGTAGTGGGACTGAAATAGCCACGTGACTAACTCCTGACTTCATAGGTGATAGGCGAGGGGGAAGGAAATGCAATTCTTCTTTCTGTTTGGAATTTTACGGGTTCAAGAACCCATTTTAAGATCTGTTTTGATATACATGTAATATGAAACAATCCAACCAATAATCTGCCTTCATTGAGTGTTTTCAAAGTATTTTCAATCAAACAAATTTAAACATACATTAACACAATTTCTAAATAAAGTAGACACCTTCTTATCTGGACTCCTCGGAACAGAGGCGAATAACGGGGTTTTGGATACACCAACTTCTTACAAAACTCGTTGAATTAGGAACGTCTTATGCTTACTATATAAGCAAATACAAAGAAAATATATATTAGTTTTGTATATAGTTTACAAAGAAAAAACTAAATTTAACACCTGTCAGATTTATAAATATAAAAACTTTTTTTAGCCTCCAGATTAGGTCTAATATATGAAATTCGTATGAATACCAGGTTTGTTTTAATCCTGAATTTTGAGTGTCACATTTGGTTTTGACTTTCTACGAAGTCATCTTCAAGTGTAAGGATGACCACTTCATAAGAGGGTCGTCGATTAACACAAAGTAAATAAACACACGATCATGAATACGGACAATGGCATCGTAAAACGTTACATGTAAAAAGATAAAATACCCCACCACAGCAAACCTGCAGACTAAGCGAATTTCCATTTGCCTGATTGGATTTACTCTAAAATATTTCCTTAAAATATCACATTTATTCATCCCTATTCAAATAGCACCATGAGTACTATGGTAATAACTTATTCCCTATAAGGGAAATTTGCTAAAACCAATAAAAATGGTAACTGCAGTATGGGGAATGATTCGTCACGACCGAGCGACCAAACACAAAAGAGGGGCTCCAATTTTCGACAAGATTTCGCGTTTATAAGATTATTTGCTACTGCTGCACTGAATATATTACAGTACTGGCCAGACAGCTTGTTCTTTAATGAAAAGATTCAAAGAACATATAAAAAAACAACATCCGTTCACACCTCAGCTCTTACTGAACAAGGATTACAACGAGGCACGTTTTTACACCAATTCCAAATTAATAAAAAATAAATCATTTGAAAAGCCGTCACCAATAAAATGATGGTGATTAATTTCAAGCTATGCGGGAAATATTTTAATACACATAAACTCGTGTTTGCATTACATTCGTTCTATAAACTTGTTAAAATCATCAGAGGTGAATTGAAATATGAAAATGTAATTAGGGTATTTAACTAAGCGACATCATCGATATAATTGTGGTCGCTGACTTCAACATTTGTACGGGCTGGCAAACAATATTGGTTAGCAAAATAAACATCCAGTTTGAACCTTCTGCCATACAATGTTGTCTCTCATATTTGTTATAGACAGTATTATTCAGTACATTAGGATCAGTTATCATTGTTTAGTAAATTTCAACATGTATTTAAATGCTCTTTGCTGAACACTCCCAATGTTTTACTTACTGTTTTAATTTACTTTGCTCTGTAACACGTGTTTGCATCCATATTACACTATTCTCTATTCTAAAATATATTTTTAAAATTTTTAACTTTACAATGCAAATAAAATAGTGTCTTTCTCTTGTGCCCATTAATAAGTGTGTTCATTATTTCTCTCTCTCATATTCTTCAATACCATTTCTCAACATTACTCTCTAGTCCTTAGAGTGTATCTCATTACTCTTTCTCATTTTATCCTCTTTTATCTCAATCATTAAATTAATTTTTTTAAACTAATATTTTAAACTGTGAAATCAATTAATCATTAGTATACAGAACTTATTGATAAATCTTGATAAAGCAATGGTTGTCACAGTCTCACTATACATTAAACTAGAGCAAATTAAACCATTTTCTTAATATACCACTAGTATTAATACAACTTTGAATGGGAGCCCCTGTCTATGCATCCCAGGTCAAAACCCTGCCAATTACAGATGAAGATGCTCTTTATATAATACCATAACATTTTATACCGTTTGAGCTGTATGCACACTTTTAAGAAGAGAAATTGGCATTTTCATGGTAAAGATGCCATAGCATAAAGTTAGTATCCTTAGTCCTCAGTATCCTAGCCAGCTTGCTATTATGATTCTACTATCGCAATCCTACCTTTAGCATATACTGTACGATATTAAACGAAATGTCTTTACCAGACATCTTATAAGTGACCCCTTTTGTACATATCAATGCAGGTATTACTATATCGGGGATCATTTTCACTTTTCAACACATAGTACAGAATTTTAGTAGCGTCCTAGAATTTTAAGGTGAAAATCCACTCTCTCAAATTATTGCAGCTCTGACAACATCAGGGTCTGTACACTTTCTAACTCTGCCTCTGCTACTTATACTGCAGACATTTTACATATATAAAACCATTGCAGGTCTGACGTTAGCCAGTGGTCTGGTCGTATTTGTCTCCGTGTTGTCCGACGCCTACCAAGACCGGCCTCGACGTCCCGGCGCTACCTCCCCCTTCCACTACCAGTACGGCTGGTCCTTCGTGACGGCTGGGGCGGCCTTCGTCCTGGCCGAGGGGGCGGCGCTGCTGTCCATGACGTCATACCTGAAGCGCTTCGCCACTGTGGAGGACATGGTCCGTACCATGGTACCAGGAGCTGACAGACGTCTCCAGGAGCGACAGCTGTGCAAGGAGTATCTCGTCAAGAGGTCTAGCTCTGTGTGAGTAGATTGTGATGAACAAAGGTTGAATGTGAAGTGTTAAAGGACATTAAAATAACCTTTAAAATTAATGTAAAAAGGCAAGATAAATGATAAATGATTGAAAATAGGAGATATGATAGAAGATAATTTACATATTAATGAATTTTCTAACGAAAAACCCAACAGGAATAAAGGTAGCAATAAGTATGTACAAAAGAGAAATCAAAGGTAAACGGTAAATAATTGTATAATTATGTATTATTTTTTTTATTAAATTATTTTTGAAAATGCTAACAGAAGGAAATGTTAGGACGAAAGACAATAGCAAGAAGATAAATAATTCAAAACCAAATTAAGTACAATTGAAAGTAAACAAGAGATAAATACTGTATTTAAATTTTAGCCCCGAAGTAACCCATGGTGGAACTCGGGGCAAGGCAGCGGTTTACGACGAAGGCGAAGCGACCGCGAAGGCGATTTGTGACGAGTAGTAAACGATACTTTTCAACATGATACAAATAAGCACACAAAGCTTCTGGTTTTTAATTGAGTATTATTATACTTTACTAATTCTCTTTAAAGTTCTCATTAAATATTGTTTCGAAGTGTGTTTACAGGAGTTAATTAAACTATTTCTCGTTATAAAGAATTTATACACTAGTGCTCCAATTAAGCTAAACGGGAACTTTATTTGTTTGGTACAGGTAGAAGTTTGTTTGAAATATTCAAAGCATTGTTTTGGACAGAAAAAATTAAATTTAGGCTGGCTAAACCATGTTAATTTGGAAATTGAAGATTTTTGTACAGAGTGATAAAAACAATATAATATAAGGAGAAAAGTGTAAAAAAAGTAAGCTGAAGGAAGAAAAAATCAACAACACAAATACACATGTACACATACACAAATACACAAATACACATGTGGATAAAGTCAATATTATTCAGGCAAACATTGAAGTTCCTGATATAACATAAATACACAACCAGGTAAGAATAACAAATTCAAATATGCAATACCCCGGACAGTGACAGATTGACTCGGTTACCAAAACCAACGAGGATTGGACCAGCTTACGTTTGCATTTTGATAACTCATTTCCATTGAAGAATGGATGCTACAATGGATCCAGTGTACAGGGTTCATAGCTATCAGACTTGCTGATGAACATTATATGGAACACTTTACTTTATCAAAGCCATATAGTTAATTCTGTTCTCAGTCCGTACATTGGACATACATGAACATGGACATTGTCCATACATTCTGTTATCAGGCTAACGATGACCGTTAAACTTTGTTAAATATTTTTCTGGCAATTAGTAGGTATTTCTTTTTGATATAGGCTACTGTTATTTTTCCTACAGAATGATTTCAGCCATTAGAGTAGTTTTTTTGGGATTGCAAATGTAGTTGAGGCTCTAGAACCCGTATGAACGCAGACACAAGTAAAACAGATATCCGAAAAAGTGGATTGAACATTATTTTCTGTACTCTAAAAAGCTAGACATTACTTTCCCCTTTTTTAGGTATTCGATTTCAAATGTCCACCTTTAAAAAGCCAAAATAATGACGTTAAATCAATACATTACAGGTCCATACCAAAGCCACAAGCTACATACAATGCTAGCAATAGTGCGGATATTAATTTATGAGTTGGTTAATAAATAATCAGCTAGCTGTATTAATGGTATGTTCGTACGTCATATCTCCAATATCATCCAGTAGAGATACAAGTAAATATAAATATTTATATATAAGTAAAAGTAAAAATATTTTCACTTTTTTGCTTGAGTAGTTTCATTGTACTGGTTTAAAGAAAATCTGCTATTTTAAAAATATTTAAAATCTTTCCAGATTGAACCCAGACATGCTGCACAAAGGCGAAGCTTTAGACACCAGCGAGGAAGGCTGCGATGGACCTCTCCTCACCTCCAAGACTCCTCCTGACATCTGCTCTACAAACACCATCCTCCAAGAGCCGACGACTGTTCCCATCACCCTAATGCACAAGAGGCCGCAGTTCCCCGGCCAACCCATAGCCTTCCAATTTCCCACCACGGACTTCCCAAGGTACGCCACCATCGGAAGCTGCACCATCGTGCACCAAGGAGTCCTAGGGGTTTCCGAAGGAACCTCTTCGTCCTCAGGCTCTTCAGCGTCTTCCGCAGGTGTAGTGACGTCATCAGGAAGCTCAGCGTCTAGTAGGAAGTTCCAGTCGTTGCCTAGAGCGAGAAAGATGTCCACTCCTTCTGGGTTCTCCACCTTGAACACCAAGAGGAGCGGGTCGCCATCCAGCCTGAGTCAAGGGTATTGCTCGGGCGGAACTGGATGTCAGCCGATAGTGATTCATTCGGACGAGGAAATAGTGTAGAAGAAAAGACATGGTTCAATTATATTGCTGATTTATAACTTTATATTATAAAGATAGGCATTTATACTGAAACAGTGTACACTATCAAAAATATTTGTTTGGTTTCGGTTTAAAATTAACTAAAATATAATGGGTGTTACTCATCAACATGTTCCAGTATAATGTGTCGACCAAGTTCAGTTATACCTAACTTTCTATGAGGATGTCAAGTGATATGCATAAATTAAACCAAATACATTCATTAATAAGGATTGTATATATTTTGGTTCACGAACTTTTTCAAACTAATTACTCTTGTAAAAATGAGCTACAGGGATAGAGTTGGATATTTTGTATTGAAATGTGTAAATAATGTTTTTACCACTTGTATTAAATAGATGTTAGTTGGATGGAATTAATAAATATTATTTACGTAATTATAATGTTATCAACCCTTTCCTTTTGGTAGTAACCAAGTTTAAGATTTGGAGATTTTCTTACATGATATCCCATAAAATTTGATCCATGATATTGATTCTTTAGAGAATAACTAAAAATTATATATAGTCATCTTAATAAGTAGTTAAAAAGAAATCAATTTCACAACCCACTACTTTTTACAAAATGTTTTAAACTCCCCTCCTCTTCTATCTTACACAATTTTTAATTGCAACTGAATCACTTAACCTAAACTAACGTTAACAAACACTTGATCAAATATTTAAGCAGTGATAAATGTTACCGAAATTCTATCTATGGAAATGAAACAGAAGCCTAAACAAGCTCTGTGGTCTGGAGTCCCTACAGACCTGACCACATTGTCGCCAAAACGTGTTAACAGCCGCCCCATCATCAACATGCTGCCAACCCTGCAACGCTGAGGTTGTTAGAATTGTCTGTGTGTGTGTGTGTGTGTGTGAGTGTGAGTGAGTTGGTTTGAGTGCTTTGCATTTTATTCAAACCCCATTGGAAATACTCTTGACCTTTCGAAATTCTTCACCGAATTGGTCACACAGTGAAATCAGTTAAGTATTTTGAATGCTAACATTTTCTCTTACGTTAAATTTAAGCTTTTCTTAGTTAAGACTAGGATAGAAGTCTAGTATATTTAAGGGAATGGTCTTATCCAAGTTACGAGGTTCTTTACCCCAAGTTCACTTTCTACGTCGTTGGCCGTTACATATCTACTCATACTTTCAGGATAGACCTCATGGGTCGCGACATTATAATACAGTATAGATAAAGTGATTGTTGATTGGTGGGATTCGAACCCGGAGACTGGAGCTCCGCGCTTAGCCACTAATCCAAGTCGTTTCTCAATTATTCAAACCTAGGGGCATATATCATACTATGACACATTTTTGTGAAAGTCGCTGCCGTTTGTTTAGAAAAGATTCGTTACCAAGAAACATTATTCACTTAATTTTCTTATTGTGTTCTCTTTAATCTGAATTGAAAAATAAAATTCTGTTTAGGCTGTTGTACGGTTGCAGCAACAAATAAAAAGGTTGAATTGTTTGTATTATAGATATTTCTAATCATACAATCATAACACTATTAAAATAAACTTGATCTTCTGTTTATTAGTTACTTTTCTCCTTGACATAACATGTAATATTATAAGGTTGATTATATTTAATATGTTTTCAAATTTACTATATTTTATATTGTCTTGTTTCCTGTTTTGTTTTGTTATTGATTATCTATATATTAATAGGCAAGCATGTTTCTTTAAAATCTTTTTTTCTCAGCTCGTTTGCATCGCAGGGAAAATCTACTGTTAGAATCCTGTAGATATGCAAAATCCGTTTTTAAATTAAAATGGGCTCGAAAATAAGCACAACAAATTTGTAAAAAAATTTTTATTAACATGGGCCTTATGGGTTGCTATGGTGGTGACGAAATAACAACGAATTAGAAACAGAAAATCAAAACAAATGTAAGAAATTCCAATCACATGTTTTATGTACAGTATGGGGTGGAAATAGAGAATTCTGTACATTATATATTTTTGGTCGAGTTTCGACCATTGGACGACCTCTAGTACCTACTTATTTATTTGTTAGTTTAAATATTGTTATTTATCAAGACGATAGTTGTTCTGAAAAATAGTAGGTACAAAGAAACGCTTGATCTATAAAGGACTTTTTAAATATTGTATTCCTTTTTAATTAATACATAATTTACTATTATCTAGGCTATGAATTAAAATAGTCGCTCTAAACCACTATGCATGAGTTCTTATATTGACTCAGAAAGGACTGAAGCTCAAGTCAACGTAGGAGGCGAACGTTTCATGTGGAACTAAAAAAAATTGTGAGTAAAAAAAATTGTGAGTTAAAAAAATTATAAATGTTTCTGTTGACAACAGTAGCACTATTCCTATAACGTCCTTTAAATATTTGGCAAAAATGAAGTAGTTTTTACTTTATAAATTAGAAATCCTGCCATTAATATCTTTCCACAAAATCATAAATTTATATCATTATCAACAACAACAACAAAAATAGCTTACTATTGCTCTAAATGCTATGTTATTTAAAATAGCAGATTGTTCTGTTTTCGCATACAAAATTTAACAAAGCCTCCTCCCTTGCTCTCAAAATAACCTTTAATAATTTAAATAAAAAAAATTACTAAAACATAATATTTATTTACTTTACATCTAGTAACATAAGTTTGTATTAACTAAATTAACAGTGTTCTATGAAGTAGAAATTCTATATGTTTTTTTTTATCAAATCAGTTTACAAACTCTAGAAACTTAAACAATATTGGCTTTAAATCACTTACGCTCAATTACCTTTTAGGAGAGGGTATATTTCAAAATGATAAATGTTCCAATAAAGCTCAGATTACGAGGTAAATTTTGAAACATTGGATTAGAGGAGATTATAACCAATCGCCTTAAAGTATTACACCACAAACACATAACATGTCTAACTAAATCTTTGTAAATGTACAGCTTACACATCTGTAAAGTATTAAGGCAACAATGAAACATCATTTTGGTTATAAATAATATTTTTAATACCAATAATGTAAAGAGTGTTTGAATTTGCCTTTAAAATCAATACAATTGGGAATTTCTGTAAACATGACAATCGAACAAATTGTGGATGGTATATGTAACATAAACTCGAACAATCTTAACACAAAATATTTTTACAGCGTATGGGGATGTAACAAGCGATGGATAAATTTTATTATTTTTGTATTTTTATGTTCATGTATCCGTGTGAACTCGACACACATTTATAAATTTGTTAATTATGAATACTTATGGAACATAACGAGTTGGAAACAATTTCCAGCATAAATGTTAGTACTTAATAAAATAATGGTGGAACATTTTAAATTGATGGAATAACTATCTTTACAGAAACAAAACAAATCGTTTAGATTTCGAATGTTGTTTAAGAGAGAGAGAATCACCTTACAATTAAACAAAAGCCATCCTCATTTACACTCGGTGCAGGCAAATCTGGTTTCGCAAACTGGCTCCTAATAATAGAAAGGCCCGAATGAAAATGGAAATAGGTCCACTCCGTATTATAATACACATGCTTTATTAAAATAGGTTTTAATGTAGGTTCTATGAAACTGAAAATTAGGTTTCTTGAAGATCAGGTAGTAAGTAAGTAATTACCCTCCGCAGTAAACCTGCAGACTTAGCGAATTACCATTTGCCTGATTTGATTTTCAATATACAATTCTATTTCAATAACATTAGATATAAGAAGTACCTAGGTTTGCTGATACAGGATGGCTAATAAAGTGTGTGTGTGTTTAGTAAAATAGTAATATCTTAGAATAAAATAAATAAATTTATCAAGTTTGATCAACTACAACAGTTTACAATAGTTTCTGTAAGAATAACATGGGAATTTTAATTTATTTTTTAGAATTTTCTCCGTAACCAATAAGCGCACAAAAACTTTAATAAACTAAATTATTTGTTTCTTTAAGCTATTCAAAAGGGTATAGAGAGACAGAGAAATTGGGAAATGTTGTTTTTTGAGGGTGAAAAATTAGAAAACCCAATTATTATCTCATAAAAACCCCAATAAAACCCTTTTCCCATGGTCCAATCATAATGGTTCGTGAACTTATCAAATTCTAATAGCTTTCCGTATGGGAAAATTAACTAAGAGAAGAAACAAGTCATTTATGCTTAGGCTTTAGCTTTGCCCAGTCTACTTCCGGCCCTGTCCGTAAAATGCACTCGTGCCTCGTTTTCGTTTTAGCAAATTTACAATTTAGGGAATAAGCTACCCTCGCCACAGAAACCCTGCAAACTAAGCAAATTTCCATGTACCTGGCTGGTTTTCTACAAAACTATTCCATGAAAATTGTCTCTGCATTTTTTCCTATTTAAATAACATTAATTTTAATGAGTACCTAGTTTGTCTTTAATATTTTGTTTGTGAGTGATGTTAATATTCGACGATACCATCCCTTACATATCCTTTTTTTGTCTGACGATGGAGTTTCAGATAACCGCTGAAAGGTATGTAGGAAATTTTACTACAAATTACTAATAGAACCTCAGTTCTTATAACTGAAAACAATATCTGTTCAAAATCCACATGATACAAATTGTCTGAAAAGGTATGTTTTAGTTGTTATAAAAAAAAACTCATATTTAATAAATAAGTTACAAAATTTCAAAAGTAGATCCAGTATTTTCCGAACTAAGATAACTATTGAGTATATAATTTAGTCAACATTGTTTTTGTCTTGGCTTAAAAAATTTGGTTGACGATTTTGAATATTTAAAACAGGCTTTATCAGAATATAAAAAGGGTTTATTTATGATTAAAAAAATATACATCTTAATGACTTTTTAAATGAAATTGTGTACGTAACAGGGTTTAATTTTACACAAAATCGTAACGTAAATAAGTCAAGCTAAAACCTTTTCCTTCGGATACACAAATTTAATTTTTAGTTTTCAAAATCATTGTTGAAGGAAAGAGTAAGGTAGTATACCATTATAAAATATACATTTAAATTAACAACAGAACCTCTAAATTAATTTATAAAACCTTATACGTACAACAGAAACATGATGTTGAAGGTACCTGAGTAGATTACCCATTTACTCCCAAACGGGAAAATCTCGTTATGCTAACTGACCCCCATAATGGGTAAGGTCAAATTAAAATGGAAATTGTCTCTCTCGTTGAACAACAAAACTCATTTAATTTGGTAATTCACTCTGAAACTAAATAAAAATGATGACAATAAAAACTAATGAACGTTTGATTGCATGAGGTGGGAAGTTAAACTCAATCAAAGCTTATTAATTCAGTATGTTAAAACTAGTAATTTATTAAACCAAGCACTGATAAAAATATTGACTTATCCGTTGGTTTATTCATAGGCAATACTTATTTTGTTATTAATGACGAAAACAATATGGATATTATCAGTA